ACTGCGGCTGTAGTAAATCATTATATCAGTGATTTTGTCAAATTATCTTAACAAAAAATAGTAGAAATTCTCATTACTAATCATTACCGAGCGTATCCCATGACAATTTAACGCTCACTGCGTGTTTATGCTCATTTCTTCGATTATATTTTATATTTTATTGCAATACCTTTCGTGAACCTTTCATAGCATCGTAATGTTTATTTACTTTGCACGATAGGTAGCCGCTTTGACAGTTCAATAGGTAGACTTGGCTTCACTCTTGGCGTGACTCATTATACACCGACTCTAGCTTGTGGGTATGTGCCTGGAAGATTCAAGTTCGCGAGGAAGGCCATGATTTGGCAAGTGATTTGCCGTTGTGGCCTGAAAACGGAACTATTCGTCACATCCTCGACGATGACGTCCCAAGTTTACATCGAAGAATGCCTGAAAAAGCGTGTACTGCCGTTCATCCGCAAGCATAGGGGCAAAGTCATCTTTTGGCCCGATTTGGCCTGCTGCCATTACTCCAAGGTGGTTCTGGAGTGGTATGCTGCCAAACAAGATCGATTTTGTCTCCAAGCTAATGAATGCTTCGAATTGCCCGGAATTTTAACTAATCGAAAAATACTGGGCAATTTCAAAGCAGCGACTTTGAAGAAGCGGCGGGGCAGTCGAGGACATCCAGCAAATGCGGGCAAAATGGAAAAAAATGCGCTGATTCCGTGTCCATTTCCACGAGATTTCGTTCAAACTGGAGAAATGTAACCATCTGAGGCTGTGCGTGTGTTCGAACCTGACGAACAGGAGACGATTTCTAGTTCCTCATTCTAGGTCCCTATTATTTTCCGCTGAGTAGCTGTTCCCAAACCAAGTATAACCTCCACGAGGCGTCCCATCATTAGTTTCATAATTCGTTGAGTCGTAGTGTTGAACCTGACTATTGGCCACGAAAAGACTTGCCAATGCACATCAAAAATCAACTACATACATCCGAACATTTGTTTATCTCAAATCGTAGGAAGACATTCCGCGCAACTGCCATAAACCAGACTAGTTCATGTTTATCTTCGTCAAGCTTCGTCTACAATTTGGACTCCTACATCAACACATGTCAAGCAGCCTTCAGGTTCAATTGGCTAAACTTGGTGAGTTTGTTCCGTTTTGTAAATTTTTATCTATTCAAACCAGTAACGTTGGGAGATCACCTTTTTGTGGTGCGTTACTGGTATAAGATCTACCACCGTGACAACTTCAAACTGGGGAATCAGGATTTTCCAGTAATCAAAGGATCACATTTTAGTCCTTGTTACTTTTTATGACTTGATAATAGTGACAAGACTCGGGTAGTGACCACCGCGCTGTTATGCATTTCTATATTGTATGCATTGTATGTATGTATGTATGTATGTATTTCAAATCAAAAATATTGTTTATATTCAAAGATTTCACATAATCCTTTTCCCTTTGTCCTTCTCCTTTTCCTTTCCCTCTTCTCTTTTCAGAAAGCGAGTAATGGCGCTATAGCCATAAGTCATAAAGGCTAGGACAAAAGCTAGTGCTCATGCCCCAACCGTCAGAAGAAAATGGAGCATCACTTAACCTTTCTAGCTTTGATGCTTCCAACGACCAACCAATCATATAATTACCAAAATTGGAACGTACGGGACGAGATGTCTACGTTACATCCATGTATTGGATTTTAATGTTCTGATGTATGTGGAAGCATCGTGTTTAAATGTTCTGATGTTTTCTGAATAATCTTGCCCCTTAAATGCTGCACAGTAGGCCTGGCCGTTTTGAAATGTCTGACGCATCTTCGATGTGAAACATATATCAAATAGACAAGAAAAATGATGTAGGTATATGCAGGGTTACTTCCACTCACTTGCTATAAAAAATTGTTTTTTAGAATTATGAAATCATTAGATGTTATAATGATAATTAGTACTTGTAAGTTACAAGAAGAGATTGTTAGGTATGTGTTTGACACATAAAACCTGTCAATATTGCTTTCAGTGCGTCACAATCAGCAATTTTACCATTCGTGAGCGCTCACTCTGAGTGAACGCTCACGAATCATAAGATCGCTGATTGTGACGCTCTGAAAGCAAAATTGACAGGTTTTATGAGTCAAACACACACTTTTCACCCTCTTCTTGTTACTTGTAAGTACAATAAATCCTTATATCATCTAATGATTTCATTATTCCGAAAAACAATTTTTTATAGCAAGTGAGTGGAAGCAACCCTGGGTATATGTATATATATCATTTCCAGGATGCTTTCAAGAACTGGCTGTGTTGGTTTTAGATTAGATTATATTAGATTAGATTAGATTGCTGTAATTTTTAAGTTTTAATAAAAGTACTGTAAAGCAACTTTTAATGAACTTTTTAAACTTATTGAATAATGAATTACAAGTCATTTAGTGCGTGCCAATTTACTTTTAGTCAGCCTTTAGTTTCTTTCAGGGCCCAACAAAGTCAATTTCAATCGAAAATCGTCAAGCGACGACGAAGCTGTGACTCTCTTGGAGCAGATCCCCTTCGTTTCAACATTAACAGAACCACTTTCGATCAGTTTTCATGCTGTTTGTTGTGACTTCACTCGTGTTCACTTAGTCTTTCATTGTAAAATGAACTTACTTTCGCATTGAAGCAAAGCTGTTCGATTCAAATTCACGCCGTTTTTCTGACTTTGGTTGATTGTTCACTTGGTTCATTTAAGCGCTTGCGCAAAGATCTGTACATCAATATGGGCATTTCTGGAATCTGAATGACGTATAGAAGCCGGAAATCAATTACCGACGCGATTTTTGAATCCAAGATGGCGGCTTGCGATTTCAGAAAAAGTGAGCTACACTGACGCCGACCCAGTTTTGGGTATTTTTGGTACCGGGGTGACGTCTATATGCCATCCAACAAGTTCAATAACAGGACCGACGACCAGTGTTTGAAAATTGAAGACTGACGCCATTTTGGAATTCATAATGGTGACATCCGGGTTAAGATAACAGTCAGATCAACCACGAAATCTCGCATAACATTTGAAAAGGGCCTATCCTCGTTGATCGATTTTCTTCATCGACTTTTTTTTTGGTTTACCACGGCAACATACACGAATTTCTCGCTAAGCTCGCAGCACAGTTCGACAGGAGATGATGTTAGCATGCGCATGAAACATCACATTCAATTGGAAATTTATTTGCAGTCGGGTTATTCGCGAAAGAAAAAATCGATGAAGAGACAATGATAGGCCCTTTTCTCATGTTGCGCGAGATTTTCGTATCTGGGAAGTAACGTAGAGGTCGGAAATCCATATCTGACGCAAGTAAAGGTGACTTCAGGTTTTTGAAAGTGCCAAATAATTCTCTGGAAATACCTATACTCTAAGCAATTTGACATTTTCGGTAATCGTCAGTCGCCTTCTGAACGATGATATAATGCACGGTAAAAAAAAGTACCCAGCAGCCAGTTTACTTATACCTACTTTTGACTTGTTTGTCTCCTCTTCTTTTTCTAATGTTGTCAAAAACGGAGAAGCAAAACCGCCCACCAGCGGTAGTAAAGTGTGGGAAACCAACGTTGAGTAAAATTCTTCTTTTGGGTACAACTAACTTACTGTATCGTTTACTTAAACTCCACACGAATTGCACACAAGTAAATGAACTACTTTGACCCGCTCTACCTACTTTTGGCTTCCCGCACTTTAGTGTCGAGTGAGTAAAAGAACTTACTTTTGCGTAGTTTTTTTCATATCGTGCAGAAAACGCAAAGTGGTAGAACCGATGAGACTTTATTCTTCATGTACTCGTAAATTGGAGGCGAACCAGCCCAAGGCTGAAAGCCTCCTTAATAAAGTTAAATAATAATAATAATGTACTCGTAAATCAGTATTTTTTTCAACGTTCGTCGGCAGGCATGGAAAATCATTTGCATTCATTTCGTGCATTCATTTACATTCATTTGCCTCTAACTTTTTTCTTGAACAGAATTCCGTAAAATAATGTATACAACTTTTGTAGTTTTTGTTATTAGCTACAACTTTTGTAAACAAGTCAAATTCGTATCTCTTATGCATGCCGAACCAGAGCGAACAGAAGCCACTACTGTTTTTTAGTGAATGTATTTTACATTCACTGAAAAACAGTAACAAGTACTGCCCGCTCTAGTTCGTGATGCATAAGAGATAACGATTTGAGCTATGACCAAAAGTTGTAGCTAATAACAAAACCTACAAAAGCTCTATACATCATTTTGCGGAATGCTGTTGATGAAAAAAGTTAGAGGCAAATGAATGTAAATGAATGTATGAAATGAATGCAAATGATTTTCCATGCCTGTTCGTCGGTCTTCCCGGTAACATCTTCATATTCTGCTGTCATGCTGTTAAGAATGTAGTTTCCAAATTGTATTAGTCTTTTAAGGTGTATGGTCAGATGATAGTGTATGTAATGAGTCTTGCGTAGCGTTACAGTGCAGATGTTTTTAGCGTATGGTTGTGTCAGATGCAGGATGATCGTGCGTTTCTCTTTCCAATCAAACGTCCAAACCGTGTCCTTAAAGTCAGCAAACATAACAGCACATACATAAACAACAGGCAAACATCCAATCACTCTTCAAGCCAGAAAACGAAACTCAAAATAACTCCAAACAAATAACAAAACAGAAAAAAAAACCAAACAATTGAAATTCATAAAAAACAAATGCTCATTCTGGCGGGTGATGAGGAACCTTATAATTTTTCACAAAAATGCAATCCAAACCGACAAACGACGACCCTCATCACCCTGCTCTTCGATCGCGCAAGGCAGCAGAAAGTAACTCAGTGATAAAAAGTGACTCCCTCACTGAGTTACTCCTCAACGGCCGCGGAGAAAACGAAACCGGGAGAAACTCACTGGCGCATGCTTAGTTAATAGTGTGAAGGTTACGAGCCCAAAACGAACAGTACCGCGAAATACGTTGGAAGAAGGGAACAGGCAAAGTGCCCTCCGATCCTCGGCTAATACTTACTTCTTGACTACATTGTTAGGCTTGATGGTTTGAGTGTTACGGTAGCGGTTAGTTTTCTTCCCATTACCAAAGCTTGGCTGCGAAGAGGACAGAGCCGGTGGCCCGACCGGTTCGTCGACCGTATCCGACCGGTCCTGCAGATCGTTGCTGTCGTCCTTGCCGATGCGGTTCTTGAGGCGATTCTTGAAAGCTCCCCCATTGAGGCCGGCTCCGGGACCGCTGAGACGGCGCGATGGCCGCACAAGGCTGGAGCTCGGTTGGTTGGCAAAGAGATTCTCCAGCGGCAGACCCGTGTCCTCCAACGCTTGCTGGGACGAGTGCGACGGCGTGATGATCGAGGCCAGCTCCGGATTGTAGCGGGGCGTTTTGTTCGGATGGTTGGGGGCGGCCGTTTTCAGAATGCGAAGCGTTGGAGTGGGCTGCACCTTCGGTCCCGAAGCCTGCTTGTTCTGTTGATGACCCGCTGCAGCAGCGGCGGCATTACCTTGAAATACATGAGAAGTGCTTTGTAGGACTTGGGCATATTTTCCTGAAATGTACGTGCCGATGACGCTCGTTTCGTGGATTGTCGTGGCTCCGTCCTTAACCACAGTTCCACCGAGCTTTGTGACCAGTCCCGTCGGGCGGGGTTTCTTATTACCTCGTTTGGGCTTGGCTCTGACCGTCGATGCCGACGTTGCACTCGAAGTTGCGGTCGGTTTCAAATTTACCACCCGGTAGGTTTCTTCCACAAATTCCGACGGCTGACGGGACAGGAAATCGTACTCTGGCTCTGGGGCAATGTTGTTGCCAATCTGCAGCACTGGGGCTGGTTCATCGTCTTCGTCGTCGTCTTCCTGCTCGTCGTCGGCTCCGTGATCGGTTTCGTTTTCTTCCGTTATGTTCGAGAACTCAATCGGAGAGTGTTCCTTGTGCTTGTGAGCTTCGATGGTTGGTTCTTCAGCTGCCTTCGGTTTGGTAGCTTCAACCACCACTGGCTTTGGCTTCTCCTCTACTTTATGTTCTTCTTCTTCTTCTTCTTGTTCGTGATGTTCGTGTTCTTCTTCGTCTTGTTCCTCCTGATCTTCCTCTTCCTGGATAGCTTCCTCTACCTTCGATTCCTCAACCTTCTGTTCTTCTACCTGTTCTGGTTCATCTTCTTCTTCATCATGCTCCTCTTCGTGTTCTTCTACCTCCTCCTCCTCCTCATCTTCCTCCTCTTCCTCATGAACATATTCTATCTGAGGTTCCGGAGTAACAATTTCCTTTTCGGTCGTGACTTCCACCTTGGCAGCAACAACCTTGATGATCGGGGCCTGGGGCTTCACGACCTGTACCTTCGGTTCGACCTTCTTTTCCACTTCCACTTCCGGTTCCGGTTCCGGCTTGATCGGAGTGACCTCCACGATCGAAACCTTCGGTTTCGGTTTGCTAATGGGTTTGGCCTTCACCGGAGTCACCACTTTGGGGACAAACTTGACCGGAGTGTTGGGTTTCACGACGAAGGGTTTCGGAGTTTCGGCGATGACCTGAACGATACTGACCTTCTCCTTCGGTTGCTGCGGTAAGATCACCGTTTTGCTTGGTTTGATCTCCTCGGCGATCGCTGCCACCGGGGTGGTGGTGGTCGGCGGGGGTGATGTTTCGATCACCGGCAGTGGAGCCGGTGTCGTCGACGGGGGCTCTGCAAATTAAGGTTTAGTTCTGTGGTTTTTGGGGATGGGGGGGGGGAATTGATGGGACTTACCAGTTACTACAGCAGCTGCACTCTGCGGGGAGAAGATCATCACCGTGTTGCCGATGGTGGTGGTAAAGTCCAAGAATCCGTACACGGTCTGGGTGACGAGGTAGCCGGGGTTGTTGACCTGCGTGGGGACGATAGCCTGGACGTCGACATTTGCGTTCGGGTTGTAAACGGGGGCATTGCCCGGGGTGTAGACGGCCGATTGGGCGAGGAGTGCTGGAAGAATAGGAAGATATTTTTTTGTTAGAGTCGCATCAAATTCTGAATTATGATAGAACACTGCCCATCATCAATGTTTGTTGTTTAATAGCTGCATAAGCCAATATGCAGCTTAGTTTTCTTCAAAAAGCTCTATATCAGCTTTCGCTGATTGTTGGGTGTGTTTTGGTATGGTTATAAATAAAAGAGTGCCATAAAGGCGGCTCGGGACCAGGGATGCCAGATTTGAAGACATGTGTTCATTTTGAATATATTTGAAATTCTGTAGCACGCATTGTGAGGAAATTTTCAACTGAAAGTTTTACCATTTAATATAACTTGTTCATATGAGCAACTTAGCTCAAGATGGTAACCTTAATTGGAGCTGTCAATTTAATGCCATCTGGTGAGATAATTTTCAACTGAACTGTACATAACTTTAGAGTATTTTTTCTGAATTTGATTAGGGAGTAACTGAAAAAAAAATCGTTTTTCAGTTCAAAATTGTGATCTAAAAGTTCTTAAAGTTGCTTCAAGATCTTATCTTATCTTTCTTTATTAAAAAGACTTTCAGCCATCGGCTGGTTCACACTGCTTCAAGACGAATTTTATGAGAAATTTGAAACAACAGATTAAGAGCTAAACACCTATTTTTTTTTTTCTAATTAATCTAAATTTTATCTGTTGCGTAAAATTTCCCTGGTTTAATTTTGAGCTAAAGTTGGCATAAACAACGAGATGGCTAGCTAGCTTGTATGCAACATTGCTGATTTATGCGATATTGCGCTTAAACTTACATGCGAAATCTAGTGTTAACAACGTGTACGCTAGATATAACAGAAATTTAAGGTCTGTATTCACAATAATCCGGACACATCAAAACTTAAGTAGAATGCAAATTTCGCAATATATTTCAATTGTAGTTGTTTACTTCAGATTCATGGGACATGATTTAAATATTCACGGAGTCAAAACATAGCTATTTGGTATTTGCATAATTTTTTTGAACTTTGTGCTCAACTTCATCTATTAGGATTTGTACAAATTCCTCAGATTAGTTTTCAATCCGACAAGTAGGCTTACTCAGATCGGGCTTTTCCGCTGCTGCTGCCGTTCCGCTTCCGCTGTCATTGCGCTTCCACTGTCATTGCGCTTTACTCTTGTACTACACGCAACAATATGCGTACTGAGTACGCAACAATATTCAAAAACTAAATACGACGCAACGACGGAACGTGGAGGAGACGAATGAACCACGAATTTCAACTAGGAGAACCATCCATGGGGCACGTCGTAAGAATGCCGCACGACGACCCAGTGAAAATGGTTCTCGAAAGTAACCCAACAGGAATAAGAAGAAGAGGCGTGCAGCGGGCAAGGTGGATCGACCGAGTAGAAGGCGACCTACGAGGCTGGCGACGTGTGACCATGGATCGAGTAGAGTGTAGACGACTTCTTCGGACAGCAGAGGACATCAAAGCCTTAGCCTGATTGGTAAGCTAAGTAAGGGACTGTACGCCGGTTCTCAACTAAGTGTTCTTTGAGCACGTCCACAGTTGACAATTAGAGCTTCATAAACCTATTTTTGCAATTGTATATTTGTATTGTGGGGAGCGGGACATTTCGTCGGAGGTTGTTTCGCCAACGGTCATTTCGACGAATGGGTCATATTGCCGAAGAGCAAGCCATTCGGTTTTGAACTTTTCTCAAAGCTCAGTAAATTTTGAAATCAGTCTTGAAAAAAGATTAAGAGGGTTCGATTTTTACAACCTGGCAAGCTATTCAAATGTAACGCTTCCTTCTTTTGAACTTGACCAGTTCATTTGAGTTGTACTGATTTCAAAAACTTTAAAATAATTGATATTTTTGATTTATAGGAATGCTTCCTTCTTTTCAACATGACCAGTTCTTACGAGTTGTACTGATTTCAGAAATTTTTCAATAATCAATGTTTTACATTTGTAGAAATGTTTCCTTCTTTTTAACATGACCAGTTCGTTCAGTTTGATTCATGATTTAAATTCAGCGAAATGACCCATTCCGCAAAACGTCCTTCGGCAAAACGTCCTTGGGCGAAATGACACAGCCCCGTATTTTATGGCAAGTACTGCTCAGGGAAGTCGAGAAACTTTCCAAACCCGAAAAATTCTCAGACCATCCATCAATTTGGCCGATGGAAACGAAACGCCCGTGAAGGGAATTTGGTTCCGGCAGGCTGTTTTGCTACGACGATCGAGGCGAGAAACAGGAAGTCATCAAGTCGGAAGAGTTCTATGTTTCTGAGCTAGAATAGAACCTGGTTTCCGTTAGCCGACTGATCACCAAGGAAGCTAAAGTAACGTTTTTGGAGTCACGAGGACGTGTTGCAGCTGTTGCAAGCAAAGTTGGAGGCTTTGAGAAAGGTCCAATTTTAATGAGAATTTACAATAAGTTCTGAGAAGAATATCAAAAGGGTTCTATTGTGTGATCCAAATGAAATTATGAGAAGAACTCAAATGGTGTTGAATTCAAGGGATAGTTACGAAATAATTCTGCACACTACTAAAAAGTCATGTAGATTTCGGTTCCCTGAGACCGACACATGTATGCGGCCCTTTTGACATAAGAATCAGTTGAAAGAAACGTGAAAATCAATTCAATCAAACGTTCTCTTCGTCGACTCGCTGATGTTTCGGTTTGAGAACACTTAATTTTACATGAAATCATCTCAAATTGGCCAAGGAGCATCCAATTAAATTCCAGGAGTTTCTGTCTAGGGCCAAGGTAGCAGAGGAGTGCGAATTGGATAGGATGCTCCATCACTCCATTGATGGGTTGGTTGTCAACCGATTGACGACCGCATTCACGGAAGAACAATTGAAACACCTCAACAAGGGGCTAGGATACGCGGTTACAACCAAGCCAGACGTCGAGCAGATCATCATTGACGTAGAAACAGCGATTACCAAGACACTTCCAACATCAACACAGAATACGGTTAGGACTCTCACATCAAACATAATCAAGGACGGACAGGAACAAAGTCGCACCAACGAAAAAGAAATTCGGATTGTAAAGGAACTAAAAAGTAAAACAGTATACTACGTGAAGGCAGACAAGGGAAACGTGGTCGTTATCATGGACAAGGACGATTACGACAATCAGATGACAACGAAGATTAACAACGGACCGTATAGACAGCTTCGAGTAGACCCCCTACAGAACATAGTGAAACGCGTGGAGAAAGCACTGAAGGAGTGCAAATCGATATTAGGAGAAGGAGCAGGTCGTTTACGGGAACCCAATCCCATTCTACTCAGGATCAAAGGTCTCCCCAAAGTCCACAAACCGGGAAATGGAATGCGAGAGATCGTGTCTGCAGTTGGTTCCCCCACCCACGAACTAGCGAAGTGGCTAGTCAAAAAGTTCCAGAGTATGCCGAATCAGTTCCAGAGTAAAGCAGTTAGTAACACTCAGGAGTTCGCCCAGGAACTACAATCTTCAGGAGACATCAACGAGGACGAGATTATGGTATCAAGGAAGCGATCAACCATTTGGAGGACTGGCTATTAACACAACGAGAGGATGCAGCATGGAGAAACAAGGTTCGGACGTACCTTAAGCTGACCCGCCTTTGTATGGAAGAGAACTACTTCTCTTTCCGAGGTAACTTCTACAAGCAGACGAAAGGAGCCCCAATGGGAAACCCTCTATCCCCCTTCTTGTTTGAACTTTTCATGGCCAACTTGGAGACAATCCTGAAGGAGAAAGGACTATTACCAAACCGTTGGTGGAGGTTTGTTGACGATATCTTCAGCGTAGTTAAACGGGAAGCCCTTCCACAAATTTTAGTTGAGATCAACAGAATTCACAAGGATATCAAATTCACTCACGAGGTAGAAAAAGACGGGAAACTCGCATTTCTCGATCTTCTAGTCATCAGGGAATCGTCATCATCTTCCTCGCTTGAATACGAAATTTACAGGAAACCATCAAGCATCAAAAGAGTTATCCCCTATACTTCCAACCATTCGTTCCAGCAGAAAATGGCCGTCTTTCACCACATGATTCATTGAATGCAGACTCTTCCACTCAGCGATACAGGAAAGGTTAAGGAATTACAGTACATCTTCGAAACAGCAGAGCGAAAAGAAAAAAACACGCGTTTGTTTTGGTTCGTTTGATAGGACTGAATGATGCACGTTTATTTAAGAGTAGCAAACACGGCTGAGCAAATTCTTAAGTTACACTAGTCAACACTCCCCCTTAACTAAGAATTTGAGAGATTCCGAACACTGCTTTGAATTGTCCAGGGACCGCCTTTGTCAGCGCGTCTGCCTTCTGGTCACCAGAACGGATGTACTTCAACTGCATAGTGTGGTTCTCCAGCTGCTCTCTGACAAAATGATGTCGCATGTCGATGTGTTTACTTCTCGGCGAGAACCCGATCTCCTTCTCCGCTAGGCATATCGCACTACGGTTGTCGCAGTGAATGACAATCGGTTCCTTCTTGCCCAACAACTCCGTACAGAAACCACGCCACCACAGAGCCTCTTGTGATGCCGCCGACAAGGCCATGTATTCGGCTTCCATTGTAGAAAGCGCAACAGTCGGCTGTTTCCGGCTGTTCCAAGACACCGATCCGCCTCCAAACTGGAACAAATATCCTGTGACCGAGCGCCTCGAGTCAGGATAGTTTCCCCAGTCCGCATCCCCTCGAGCACTGGGTTCGCCATCTTCTGGAAGACCAATCCGAACGATTTGGTACCCTGAAGGTACCGTAGAATGCGCTTGGCCGCTGTCCAATGGGCTTCACCCGGATTACTGCAAAAACTGCTAACTGCATTCACGGCATACGCTATGTCGGGACGAGTGCATTGAGACAAGAACAGTAGTCCACCCACTAGCTCACGGTACGGAACATTCTGCATCCTTGCTTTCTCCTGTTCGGTTTTCGGACTCATTGCTTTTACGAGCCTCTGGCTCACTTCGGCCGGTGTTGATGTCGGATTACAGTCCACCATGTTGTATTTCTGAAG